TACTTCTAATCGCTATTTCAGTCTTTCTATCTTTCTAATTACTTCTCTCTCTGTTTTTCTCTCTGTCTCTATTTTCTCTTCACTTAAAAAAATAAAGTCACTGATGACGAAGAAATAAATAAACTAAATAAACTAATATTTGGTTTTGTTTTCTACTGAAGTGACACAAAAAAGAGAGGATATTTCAATGAATGTATATAAAAAAACTTGTTTATTATTTTAGTAAATCTGTCAGCCAAACATCCTAAAAGTGACACCTAGAAGGTCTGTTTCTCCTGAGCGGTGTGTGTGTCTGTGTGCGCATGTGTGTGTGTGAAAGAAGCATAGCCACACACGTGTCTTTGCAATTAACCTAACCTTGGCTTCCCCTTTTTGAACATAGACCGCCACACACACAGAGACACACACACACACACACGCACGTACGCACGCACGCACACACACACACACACACACACACACACTGTCATCCTGTCAGCCTCTCCTCTCCCACCTCACCTGTCAGTTAAAACCTGTTTTCCTCTTGCTTCACCTCTCTCCTCCCTCTTGCCTCTTGTCTCGACTTTTCCCTTCTCCTTTCTACTCATGCTTTCTTCTTCTTCTTCTTCTTCTTCTTCTTCTTTTTTAACACTTTCTGCCTTACTTTTACTCTTCTCTTTGCACCTCTGCACCCAACAACACAGAGAAATATTTTTGCAAAAACCATTTATTGGTTTAAAATTTTCTCATTTTTGTCCAAATGGATTTTTGTGTTTGCATACCTATAATATCCATCAGTTTTGTGTTGAACTTTTTGATTAACCTATCGAGGAGCTTTGATGCCAATATACTGAACCAAACAGTAAATAAACAATGCAAGTCATTTATTTATTTGAACGTGTTTTAGAGTTTAAACAGCTTAACCAACAGTTTTTATTACACCTCAAACACTGACACAGAAAACTAACTCAGCTGGAAGCAATGGATCTCTTTCTGTCTTCGTACCATTACCAACGAACAAACAATCCTTCCCCAAATTTATTCAATGAAAAATTATTTTATAAAAAGGATTGAAATATTAAAAAAATAAACTGAGAAATTAATTGAATTATAAAAGCAATAATGGGCAGCAAATGAAAACACTACGGAGAAATATTTTGTTTCATACACGACGTCATGTCGCCCTCATCGATGAACTAATACTTCTGAAACCTAACCAATTAAATGCAGAGAGGATGTTGTTGTTATTTTGATTAAATTGCAGAGTAATTTACCCCAAAATTAACTTTTTTAGCTGATAAACTGTCTAGAATGTGTCTAAAATGTTATATAGTACTGTTTCTGTGCTAATTTCGATG